CCGTTGGTTAAATAATTATGGAAAAAGAACACTGTCTTTTTTCACATATTGCACTAAACCAATGTTTTTCAACCTTGACAACTTTAAGATATGTGGACTTCAATGCCCAGAATTGCTGGCTGGGGAATTCTGGGAGTTGAAGTCCACCCATTTTAAAGTTGCTGAGGTTGAGCCCTGCACTAATCCATTAATAATGGCTTATAGTCCACACTGGCTGGGTTCCCACAACACGCTAAATCCCACCCAGAGCATTTTTTTAAAATTAATGTAAGATCACTGTGCTGTCAACTTATGGTTCTGATTTTTTTAAAACAAGAAAAAAGAAACCAAGAATATGGGGCATCTGTAACAAAATATGACTGTGTGAGAGCTATCCAGCCAACCAGCCACTCCCACATCCAGGATATGCCATTCCTTCTGCCTTCCCCAAGAATATGTTAATGTTGAGAGGTAAAGACATTTTAACATGCAAGGCCATATTCCTGACTCTTGATTCTCCCCCCTCTTGCCTCAGAACAGCTCTGTACCTGCAGAATATTCACAGCAACCCATCTATTCACAGCGAAGACAGTCACCTCCACCAGGGCCATCCAGATCAACTGCATCAGATTGACTTTGCCAAGCATTGCTCCAGCTGAAATCAACACTGTGATTATGCTCATAATGGCTGTTAAAATGCTGGTGGGAAGAAAGAAAGAAAATCAGTAGGATCTTGTGAGATGGTAGAATTTTTTTCCCAATCAGATCTAGACAGTTTTCTCCTTTCCCTGTTGTGCTTTTCGTGTACACGGTGAATTCCCTTAAAGTAACATACTCCCTTAGAGGTGTATTTAGAGAATTAAAAGCTCGAATAATACAGCTGTTGCATAGACTACAATCCTGTGACTTCTCCCCATCTGCTCCTTGGCAACTCAGAACAGTTTATCTGCACTGCTGGTATTGTTTTAAGTAGAAAAAAAGTTGGCACTCAAAACAGCTTATATGCACTGCTGGTATTGTTTTGAGGAGAAAAAAATGTGACTAATTTTTTTTTTACAGGCATCAAAAGAGGTCTATGCTACCAATGAGATGCAAATAGCAGTAGATGCCTTCCCGGCAATGTGCACATGGGGAAGAAGATGGAGGGCGTAATTAAAAGGGAGACACGGTCATCAGTTTTGAAATCATAAATAATATGGACATCTGTGCAAAACTAATATTTAATCAGACGCATTGCCTCTTGGGTTCAAAGATTTGGAAGGAAGCCGTCCATCAGGGTGGAGAAAACAGTGACAGCATTGGAGGCGGTGCAGTGGTAGAGTTTGGTGCGCAGGAACTCATTATGCCAGTCCATGGGAAGCTTCTTCCCAGGCATGTCCATAGGGACAGTGTCAAAAAAGTCAAAATGGTGGTTACAGCCATGTGACTGAGGCCCACCCCCTTTTTATTTGCATCAGTTACGGATGTAAAAGGGGGCGGGCTGGCATCCTTTTTTGACCCTCCCCTTTGGACTGCCTGCTTCTCCCCCAGCCTGACACCCCCAAGGTCCCAGTTAGGGCATCCAACAACTCCATTCAGCACCCCTGGATTTATGTCTGTATTCATCCATAAATCCATTCTGCCCTGTCTGTCCCCATTTTATGTTTTGTTTCTTTTTTTAAAAAATCCCTATTAAAATGTGCATTTTTACATGGCGTTTTAAATGTATTTGTTACTCGATATACGTGTCTTTAAACACATTATGCTGTGTTGCTTCAGAGCTGGTAACCGAAGAGAACGGACAGTTTGAGAAGTAATAAAAGATAAGAGATGGCTGAATGCTAATCTTGTACCTATCAGGATTCTGCAAGTTGAAATACCCAGTTGACAGTGACTGAATTCTGAAGCCTTCTGACTCCCCTTCCGGCTAATCCCACCACAGCTGTAAACGTGCCTAACCCAACAGAAGTCCCACTGATCTGAGGGCGCTTTTATCAGGAACGAGTAGGTTGTTTGGGTATCGCTAAAGAAATCATGGGAAGCCACGCTCTTCCTGTCGTTATATAAGATCCCTCCTAGCCTTGTTGCTGCCGCTGCATCTTTTCCCAATTTGGAATACTTCTGTTTATTTTAGAAACGTGACTCAGTGGAACATGGGGAGAAAATAGATTGGCTCAGTCAGTGATATAACGTTTAGAGACAAAAATGCAATAACCTTTTTTGCTCAGGGTAAAAGGTCAACTGAAGTCAGCATCTCTCTATACTGAATAAAGCTCCAAGTTTGCTGTGAATAACTTGGATACTGGTCTTTACTCCTTAAAAATATCCTTGCCAGATACTTTTATAGAAGGTACTCAGGCTTAGCGTTATATTTGTCAAGATCAAATTTACTTAGAGTCAGAACCAATTAATTTTCCGAGATTATTCTCTAGGCCAGTGTTTCTCAACCTTGACAACTCAAAGATGTATGGACTTCAACTCCCAGAATTTCCCAGGCAGCTGGCTAGGGAATTCTGGGAGTTGAAGTCCACACATCTTAAAGGTGCTAACACTGAGAAACAGCAATCTAGTAGGATGAGAGTAAATTTGATCCTGCATCTTCTAGGCCCTACTCCAAAATACACTTTAGTGACATTGCATGGCTTGTCCTACCCAAACCAGTGTGGTGTAGTGCTAGATTGTGTGGGGACACCCAGTTGCAGTCCATGCTCAGCCATGAAAATTCAATGGGTGACTTTCAGGCAGTATCTTCGTACCACCTAACCTATCCCACATAGTTGTTCTTGGGGCATTGAAAAGAAGAAATTCTTGGAGAAAAGGCAGGATCTGATTATAAGAAATAAATAAGGCTCCCTTCAAATGTACAGACAATACAACAAAAAGAAACCTAAATTAAAAAAAAATACATACCTACATACATACATACCCAGACCTAAAATCCAATATTAATACACACCCACAAGTCCACCAATAGGATAACAGATTATAGATCATTCCTATGTTTGTATGTCCCTTAATTCTTTTTATGAAGTTGACTTTTTAATTTGCTGGTCAGTGACTATAATGAAGATTATCTATCTATCTATCTATCTATCTATCTATCTATCTATCTATCTATCTATCTATCTTTGCATGTTATCCATAAATTAATGCATGCACATTTTATCCAAACCTTTTCTGCTCCTTATCTTTTTTCTGATCCATATATTGCCACCACTCAGATCAGTCTAGGCTTTTCAGTTTTAATTTCTAGAACCTGGAAGGAAAAGTTGAACAAAGGCATAATACTAACTACATCTTAACAAGGGTATTTCCTGGAGGCAAAGGTTGTGGGGGGGCTGCGGGGGAACAGGTAGAGGAAATTAGAGTCTTTGTCTTCCTTCCTGGCTTCTTTGCAGCCGGGGTGCCATAAATCTCTTTGACGAAAAGAAGCACAGAATGAGTGTGAGAAAGAAGCTGCATTTTTACCCCACCCACCGGCATTAAAAAGGACTTCTGCCTCATCAACTGTGGCCAACCTTTAAGAGTGTCAGATTTTAAAAATAAGATGCAGGACCATCTGAAAGGATGGATGAGAGCAAACAGCTTGGAATAAACCAAAGGCCTCTCTGACACCATCCTCAGTTCCACATCTCAATCTCTGTTAAGCATTTCAGAATCAACCCTTGATCACTGTTACATCCACCATCCTTACAACACTGAGGGTTCCTGCCACCTGACCCAGGAGTATCCACAAGATATGGAAAAAAAAAAATCAAGATGGTGGCCACAATGGTGTGATTGAAGCCCTGCCTGCTTTTTATGGGTGTGACACACAAAAATCAGGTGGAGCTTTGACTGCACCATCGTGGCCATGTTGACTTTTTTGACCATTCCCTGCGGACATCCCTGACCTGATCAAGAGGAGAGCAGGGAAACTGCCAGTCTGTTAGGGTTCTCACCTATTTGAAATTAACTGGCTCAGCTGCAGAACGTAGAAAACAATGCGAAGGCATATTCTCCAGACCTGATCCTGGAGAGGTACAAAGACACCATGTGGACATTCCCCCTGAAATCACTCTTTGAAGCCAGCAGAATTCCTAGCAGAGAACCAAGCTCTCTGACATTTGACTTCCTACCTTTGCAGACTAATCTTTATTTTCCCAGCTGAGAAGTGAAAGAGGAATCCTTCCACAACCACAGCCCACTGTACTCCGAGGGCAGCAAGGAGAAGGCTGAATCCGGTGCCGCTGAAGCCGTATCTCTTCAAAAAGGCCAGAAAAAAGGCGAACCCCAAAATCACCATGAGGTTGACATGTTGAAATACTGCAGGGGATAAGCACAGAACACTTGCGTCAAGGAGGCATGGTGAACCACATCCAGGAGACCCCACCTGGAATCTCCTCATTGTACTAAGCCCTAACCAATGTGGTTTGTTTGGTTTCAACTCAGCTTGCTGCGTGAAGCCACCATGATGGCTTATTCACAAACCATGGCTTAGAGGGATATGTCAGTACAATCATTGATTGGTGCTATCTGTCAGTCAGATCTTAAACCAAAGGATGCCAGGTTTTTCAAGCTTTTGATCCCGGGCACACCTATGCACACATATGTTCAAGGAAGGCGAGGAACACTGAAGATTGATATTGCCCTCTGTCCCCACATACATGTGTGCACACTTACAAACACATCACTCACTCCCATACTGCCTTCCCCATTCAAAAATGTAGGCTCTGTGTTAGCACAATAAATTAAGCCATAGTGTGCTGTAACCATGGTTTGAGCAAATCATAGTGGCCTGATTTCTACATACTGCTAAGCCATAAAGCATAGTTTGCAAACTGCAGTGGGTGGGTTCAAAACTTTCATTAAGCGTTTGTCTAATCTTGGCAACTTCCAGGTATCTGGACTTCCACTCCTGGAATTCTTAGCAATGGCATGCTGAAAGGATAGTTCTGGGAGGAGAGGTCCATGCATTTGGAAGTTGCCATGGTTGAGAAACACAGCACTGAATCAAAACCAGACAAACCACGTTATGGCTTATCTAAGTGTGTGAACCCAGCTGCAATATAGGCTTACTGATAACACTTCCCCCAGCACCATCACCTTTGAAATAGGTTTTGGTAAGTATGATTTTCATGGAAAAAGTGAAGATAAGCCTCCCTACAAGCTGTCCTCCCCAGAAATGTAATGCTAATGCTAATAATAATGCTAATAATAATAATAATATTGCCTGGAACCTCTATTTTAATTAGTTACGAGATCTGGGCTGCAAGATATAGAGAACCACTAGATGGCAGCAAAGTATTAGAGGATTTGCTGCCATCTAATGGCCATTGGGAACTTTGCTGCCCAGCTGTAATTTAATTCAAATTATAGCTGATTATTTAAACACACACACACAACTTATATATTTATTTATCACAGGCATTTCTATGCCGCTGTGCTCCAAAATAGCTCCATTAGAATGGTGCAAGCTTTCTTGAGCATGGGGGCATCGTAGCTGGCCACCTCTTTCTAAATCTCCTGTTGCCAGCAACAAACTGATATTAAAGCCGCTACCCCTCCTTTAATCATGTCATGTCTGAAGCTTCCTAATCTTGACTCAGGCTATTGGTCTCTTTAGCTCAGAAACACATGCAGGGAGTTGAAGCCAGGACCTTTGGCATGGAAAAGGTGTGCCAGAGTGGGATGCACATAAAAAACAGGCAGAACTTTGATGGCACCGTTGCAGCCACCATCTTGACTTTTTTGACCAACCTCTTACAGATCTGTACCCTACCAGGTTCATTAAGAACATGGGAAAATGCTTTAAATCAACCAGACCAATGGGCCCTCCAAAACTCCTTTCAGGCCAAGTACTGCATTTGACTTTGAATAGCATGCAGGATGTAGAATCAGAACAAAGCTAGATAAGAGTTAATTTAAAGTAAATACAATCCAATTAATATGATGTCTTCCCACATATGGCAAATAATCTCACTTTTCTTTATTTTAAAAAGTAGAATCTGATGGCAACTTGGCAGGGGGTCTGGGGGGACAAATCTAAAGTTTTGGGGGTCAGAGGCCATTCTCAACTTTAGACTGTGCACCCCTAGGTTGCGGCAGTGACTCTTCAGGGCTTCAGCCATAGATCTCCCTCAATTCTACCTCGAGATGCAGGAGATTTGTAGTGTATCTGTATCCTCTCCTCCCAACTGGGACTATCCCAATTAATGGTACTGAATTCCTCACAGCTGGGAAGCTGCAAGATCCAGCACAACAAAGATGCAACAGCAGAGAAGAAATTCTCCAGAAAGGTAAGCCTTTCCTTGACCTTCCAATTTCACAGAATGTGATCTTCAGCCCCGACAGTAGGCGACCTTACCTGGGTAGTCTCTTGTAAGGTTTTGACTGTGGTCATAAGAGACAAAGACGCCAAATATAAGGATTAAAGCAGCTTCCAAAATAAGTATGAACGCAGGGAGACGAATCCGGAGATTTGGAGGATACTGGGAAACCATCGTGTCTTCCTCAAAGCATTAAGAGAAAGCCAACAAAATAAGGAGCAGGCAAGCGTTAGTATTGTCCCTTTGGTTCCACATTCCATAAGCCTCTGCTGAAAAAAAGAAAGAAGGAGAAAGTGTGACGATGATAAGAGTTCTTAGAAGGAATTAGCAAAGCACACAACCCTTATCTAAGACAGGCCAGGGGACCGCCTGACCTGTACTGACAAAAGTTTGACTAGTATTGAGCAAGCTGGTTGACTGCAATCATGGGATAGAGTTACACCAAAATGTGAACTGCTGAAAACCTCCCAGAAGGAGACCGCTTACATATTCCCATGAACTTGGTGAGCTTTACATAGGCTCTTATTTGAACTTAGAGGAGATAGGCATGATGCTGTAATTGCCTATGCTTCCTGCTAATTCCAGCCAAGAGGAAGAGCAAAGTTGCAAATCAATGTGCATATAAGCAGCTCTCATTCTCAATAAACCAAGTGGAACTCAGCAAGTAGCTATGGTTAATTCTTGCCTTGCAATCTGTATACGTGCGAGGGGGTATGAGCCAATCAGTACAAATGACTTAGTTTGGACTTGCATAAATTCTGGCTATAGGTCATCCTTGTTTAGTGACCACAATTGGGACTGTCAACTTGGTCATTAAGCAAATCAGTTGCTAAGTGAAACCTTGACTGTGCTTACGATCTTCCTTCAGCTTTCCTTTGCTTTACAGACCTGTAAAAGTCGTAAATGTGAGGATTGGTCACAAAGTTACTTTTTCATTACTGTCGTAACTGCAACCAGTCACTAAATGAGGCAGTCACTAAATGAGGACTGCCTGTAATGCATTTTTCAACTTCAGGGCCACTCTCCATTTTCTGCCCTTCTCTTCACTAGCCTGCAGAACATCACATAGAATAATCACTGCTACGCTTGGCTCTTGAAGGAGCCTCTTTGACAGCCTTCAAGCAGCTTTAAATAAAGCCAATGGCAATGGCAGCAGTAGCAAAGGAAGAAAGCAAGATGAAGGACATCATAGCAGGAAATTGTGCAGTTTGTCTTGCTTGGAGCAGAAACCTTTATATTATTGCCTATAAGTCATTTCCATTCTCTGTCAGAGTTTCTGCAAGTAAATAATTTCAGTGATGATAATCAGTTTGTATCGGTTGTGTCCACAGATATGGTGTTTCCTCGTTGACATTCACATCTTGCTCTTTCATGATGGAGGAAGCTCTCTGTCCACACCTGCTTATAGCTGGACCTTTTTATTGCAGCATCAGGCGAGATCCAGATGTCCTTTTCTGCAGCCGCAACCAGCATGTAAAACTCTCTGCCACAGTAGTTGGGTTTCTTCCTTTGAGACCCTTCATTCTTCCACAAGCCTTTTCTATGTTGGTTTGTTGGACTGTTTTTGCAGCGTATCTGTTGAGCCACTCTCAGCATGTCCATTTGCTAGTGAAGAGAGGGGGGTGTCTCTCTGTGTGTGTTTGTATAATACACAGACACACACACACACACGTATGCATACATATATATAATGTTCTCTCTCTCTCTCTCTCTCTCTCTCTCTCTCTCTATATATATATATATATATATATAGCATATATGGTATAGTATATAGTATATATATACTATAAACGCAAAACAAGACTTGCTTTTTCATTGCCAACGTGTTTTGCTTCTTAGCAACGTCCCAATCCTGTAAATGGTCGATTCAGAAATAAACCCCACAAGCAGATCAACGTTGCTTTTCTCAAGAGTAAACTTCTGAGCAACGCTTAAATACGTTTATACCAAGGGACGTTCTGTCCAAACTGATGCAGTTCAGTTCCCAGTAAAAGAGCTCAGGGTGGGGAACATAAATATATATTTTGGAAAAAGGGAAAATATTTAGGCAGGCTCCAAAGGAATACGAACACTTGAAAGGAAAGCGGGGGGGGGGGGAACACCGCAACCCTTTTTTTGTTTAAAGAGATACGCAGCCACCTTAACAAAAGGCTACTGAGGGGAATCCCACCCTGATTGGCCGAGACTCGATTTCCCAGGGCCCTTTGCATGGCCATTACGCCTAGTCCCACTTGGTCCAGGACCCTATTGGTCGTCCTCAGTGCCGTGTCTGCCAAGCGTCATCTTTATTGGATAAACTTCTCATCACTTTTGTATTGGGCGGGTCCGTCCGCGAGCCTGTTTTAGAATGTAGCGGGATCATTATTCTTGGCCTCTTCTTACCTTCGGTCCTTGCATGACGCGGGGCTCTGTTTGGAGTTTATTGGCCAGCATTCACGTCAATTAAACGTAGAGGGCCGTACCCTAACACAAAACCAAAGGGAGAGATCAAAGGAAAAAAACACCTTTCTTTCTCTCCCATTGGGGAATATTGAGGCTGCCCCGCCCCCTGCCCTACTCCGCCCCAGGATTGGACACGCTCCTCTTCAATCCTTTCTGTCATGGACTCTTCAGGACGGTGGTTCGCGCGACTGGGCGGCCCTTGTCATTTTAGGAAGGGGCGGGCGGTCGCCGCTGCTCCTCTCATTGGTCGGGCCGTCCG